ACTTCACAAGCTTCAAAATCTCCCCTCCCCGGACCACATCCCAAAATCAGCCCAGCTCATCCCCGCCTCCCTAACCATTCCTCCCACCTCAACCCCCACCCCCACCTCCTACCCACTAACCTCATCCCGCTTCCTTGACCTGTCCGTCCTCCTTGGACCGACCTATCCCCTCCCTAACTCCCCACCTACATTCACCTTGACTGGCTCCAACCCCGCCTCTTTGACCTGTCTGTCTCCTCTCCACCTATCTTCTCCTTTATCCATCTTCTATCCGCCTCCCCCTCTCTCCCTATTTATTTCAGAATCCCCTTCCCCTCCCCCATTTCTGAAGAAGCGTCTCTACCCGAAACATCAGCTTTCCTGCTCCTCCGATGCTGCTTGGCCTGCTGTGTTCATCCAGCTCTACACCTTGTTATCTTGGCTTTCTATACTTATGTGAGGAACAAGAGGATGGCCAGAGTGAGCGTAGGGCCAATCAGGGATAGTGGAAGGAACTTGTGTGCGGAGTCAGGGGAGGTCCTTAATGAGTATTCACCTGTGAGAGGGACCTTGTCATTTGTGAGGACAGCATGAAACAGGCAGATATGCTCGAACAGGTTGTTGTTAGGAAGGAGGATGTGCTAGAAATTTTGAAAAACATGAGGATAGATAAGTCCCCTGGGCCAGATGGGATATACCCAAGGTTTCTGCGGGAAGCGAGGGAGAAGACTGCTGCCCTTTTGGCAATGATCTTTGCATCCTCACTGTCTACTGGAGTAATGCCAGAAGATTGGAGGGTGGCAAATGTCATTCACTTGTTCAAGAAAGGGAATAGGGATAATCCTAGAAATTACAGACCAGTCAGTCTTATTTCTGTGGTGGGCAAATTATTGGAGAGGATTCTGAGAGATAGTATTTATGATTATTTGGAAAAGCACAGTTTGAATAGAAATAGTCAGCATGGCTTTGTGAGGGGCAGATCATGCCTCACAAGTCTTATTGAATTCTTTGAGGATGTGGCAAAACACATCGATGAAGCTAGGACAGTGGATGTGGTGTATATGGATTTTAGTAATGCATTCGATAAGGTCCCATATGGTAGACTGATTCAGAAAGTAAGGAGACATGGGATTCAGGGAAATTTGGCTGTCTGGATACAAAACTGGCTGTCCAATTGAAGACAGAGGGTGGTGGTAGATGGAAAGTATTCAGCCTGGAGCTCAGTGACCAGTGATGTGCCGCAGGGATCTGATCTGAGAGCTCTGCTGTTTATGATCTTTATAAGTGACTTGGATGAGGAAATGGAAGGGTGGGTTAGTAAGTTTGCCGATGACACGAAGGTTGGTAGAGTTATGGACAGCATGGAGGGCTGTTGTAGGTTGCAACGGGACATTGACAGGATGCAGAGCTGAGCAAAGAAGTGGCAGGTGGAATTCAACCCGGAAAAGTGTGAAGTGATTCATTTTGGAAGGTCGAATTTGAATGCAGAATACAGGGTTAATGGCAGGATTCTCGGCAGTGTGGAGGAACAGTGGGACCTTGGGGTCCACATCCAGAGATCCCTCCAAGTTGTCACCCAAGTTGATAGGGTTGTAAAGAAGGCGTATGGTGTGTTGGCTTTCATTGGCAGGGCAATTGAGTTTAAGAGCCATGAGGTTATGCCTCAGTCTATAAAACTCTGGTTAGACCACACTTGGATATTGTGTTCAGTTCTGGTCACCCCATTACAGGAAATATGTGGAAGATTTAGAGAGTGTGCGGAGGAGATTTACCAGGATGCTGCCTGGACTGGAGGGCAGGTCTTATGAGGAAAGGCTGAGGGAGCTACAGCTTTTTTCATTGGAGCGAAGAAGGATGAGAGGTGACTTGATAGAGGTGTACAAGATGATGAGAGGCATCGATAGAGTGGATAGTCAGAGACATTTTCCAAGGGTGGAAAACACTATCACGAGGGGGCATAATTTTAAGTTGATTGGAGGAAGGTATAGGGGAGACGTCAGAGGTAGGTTCTTCACACAGAGTGGTGGGCGTGTTGAATGCGCTGCCGACAGTGGTAGTGGAGTCAGATACTTTAGAGACTTTTAAGCGACTCTTGGATAGGCGCATGGAGGATAGTAAAATGTAGGGTAGGCAGAGTAGCTTGATCTTAGTAGGATAATAGGTCAGCACAACATCGTGGACCGAAGGGCCTGTACTGTGCTGTTATGTTCTATGTTCTATATGTTCTATGTCCCCTCTCCTCAAGCCTTCCCCATCTATTTAGTTTAAAGCCCTCTCTACATGCTAGTCATTCATTCACTTTTACACTGGTCCCAGCATAAATTAAGTGCAGCCTATCCCACTGGATCAGCTGTCAACTCTCCGCACTGCTGGTGCCAGTGCCCATCAACTGAAATCCATTTCTCCCACTTGCCAATTTGATTATCCCAATATTTGAAGATGGCAGGATATACTGAAAGAATGGTTAGCAAGTCATACAAGATCTTGGCCTTCATAAAGAGAGATATATAGCCCAAAGGAAAGGAAGTTTTGCTGAACATACAAAAATCTCTGCTTACACCACATTTGAGCATTGCATCCAAAGGGCGTTGCTGGCTAGGCCAGCATTTATTGTCTATCCCTAATTCCCTAGAGAGCAGTTATGAGTCAATCACATTGCTGTGGGTCTGGAGTCACACGTAGGCCAGACCAGGTAAGGTTTGGAGTTTCCTTCTCTAAAGGATATTAGCGAACCAGATGGGTTTTTCCAACAATCAACAATGGATTCACAGTCATGATTAGAATCTTAATTGCAGACTTTTTTTATTATTAAATTCAGATTCCAATATCTGCCATGGTGGGATTCAAAACCAAGTCCCCAGAACACTACCTCTGGATTAACAGTTTAGCAATAATACCAATAGGCCACTGTCTCCCAGTTCTAGTCACCACACGTTAGGAAGGATGCGAAGATCATTGAAAGGGTGCAGAAGAAATTTACCAGAATGATTACAAGGATGATGGATTTTAACAAGGTCTGGTTGGAGAAGCTGACCTCCTCAGAGAAAAGAAGATTGAGGGGAAATTTACAGAGATCCAGTTAATTAGGATCTGTTTACATAAAGGTGAACAAAGAAATGTGGTACCACACTTGTTGATGGTACAAGGCCGAGGGAAAGACATTTAAGGTTTTTGAACAGAGGCATAGGAGATACTGCAGAAATTACTCCTGCTGCAATTGGTAATGACCTGGAATTTTCTATCTACAAGTGTGAGGGAAGCTGAGACAATCAATGATTTCCAAAGGAAATTGGATTAACACTTGAAGGAAATAAACTTTCGGAGCTATAGGGACAGATTCTAGAAATCCAATATAAATTCTATAAATTGAATTTCCTTCTTTGTGCCTTATAGATGTCACGATGCTACACAGTTCACACATCAATGTTACAGCAGCGTGACCTTGCAGTCCTCTGTCTAGATAATGAACAGTAAAGGGAAACTCTCTGTCCTAGGAGACACGGGATTTGTATATGGGAGACATCAGCAACACCAAAGAAAATTTTCAATTTTAAGAACTTTTTACACAACTTCTGATAAAGTACCAGAAAACCTGCAATGCTCTATTCTCTTTCAAGACTCTGATGTACTTGTGTTTCTAGTATACTCTGTTTTACATCAGATTACAAAGAATTTGCTCAACTAAATGTAGGATTCTAACAGTCAAAAGAATTCTTATCAAGTGACATATAATGTTGAATTGGCAACTATCACATTCAACAGCAATAAATGCTAAAGGCGTTCCATTATATGAAACTGTCATCAACTTGGATATTTTCCTTCAAATCACTTGATTCAATATCAGATCTCACATAGGAAAAACAAATAGCAAAAACTTAGGCATCATTGTACCAACATGACAGAGTAGAAGAACTAAATATCTTATAGCTGTAGTCAAACATACAAGAACAAATCACACTGAACAGGAACAAAACAGAGGCACTTGAAGAAATACAGAAAACTGGTTAACAGCCAGATCAAGTCAAGTGAAGAATTTTAAATAAAAACAAAGCACAGGAGAAACTTAGCGGGTCTGGTATCTGTGGAGCTTGAAGACAAGTAAACGTTCCAGTGTTCAAATTCTCTTCCTTGGAACCACTCTTCCGCACATCATAGGAGACTCAAAGCATTACCTGAGTTTCTCTCCCAACAGATGTTGCCAGACCTGCTGGGTTTCTCCAGCACCTGTTTTTATTTCAGATTTCCAGCATCCACAATATTTTGCAAGGAATTTGACAGGGGCAAAATGGTAAAGGGTGAGGGAAAAGAACAATTACAAACGATTATCGTAGACTGGAATATTGCAGAGGTTTTCAAGACCTTACTGACAGAACAGTATATTGTGGGTTTTATTGATTCTGTGGTGAGAGGGAGCTTTATTAGGGGATTTTATTGGCTCCATGGGGACATGAAGGTACACTGGGGATTTTATTGGCTCCGTGGTGATGGGATGGTACATTGGGGATCTAATTGGCTTCGTGGTGACAGGATGGTACATTGGGGATTTTATTGGCTCCACAGGGACAGGATGGTACATTGGGGATTTTATTGACTCCATAGGGACAGGATGGTACATTGGGGATTTTACTGGCTCCACAGGGACAG